AACACAGTGGCAATGAGTGTCCAGAGTCCGACTCCTCTCTTCATCGCCGAATGTCTCGTCAGTTAGCATAAGAACTTCCCATTTTCGTATCGAAATCATTCAAATATTCAGTGAAACCGGTTGCGATTTGTTGGTGGTAAATGGAATGAACGATTATAGCTCAATCATAACGTTAAAAAACTAAATGGGAAGGATGATTGTGTCTAGAGGAACGGGAACTGAGGTAGAGGGGGGAGAAGTACCGTCTCATGGGGCCTATTACTTAGTTATTTGATAGCACCGTCTCATGGGGCCTATTACTTAGTTATTTGATAGCTGAAGATTTTTAGGTGATATAGTTGCAAGCCGATAAGGTGTCCTCCGAAGGTGTTGAGTGAGCCCGGCTGCATTTTTCACCAATACTGGGCGAATTCAAGTAGAAATCAACCAGTGATAGAAAACCCGCGGTGGGCTCGTTGCACGCCTCCTGATACCCTCCCGCCAGAATGCGACGATATCAACTGCACATGTCTTAAGCAGTGTTTTTATGTTCATGAACGAAGAGTTCTTTTCAGGAAACCGCAGTATCTTGATCCTCAGGAGACGTTTGAACACTACGAAAACAGAAGTCGTCCTACCTCGTCCCAGTCTTTCGATGCAATTGGTGGGTAAACTCGTCGAAAAAGATAAGTATGATGTGGTTTGACCAGCTGATTTCTGGAATCTGCTGCGCAATTCGACTTGGGCTCAGAAAATGATGACTTCTTGGTCAGTATTACTAAAAGTATGGTCTGAGTCTAATCGATGTGGATACCAGTGCTCCCCTTCCTTAGGCAAAAACGGATGCAGTCAGTCGGACCTGGAGGCCGGGAAGGATCTGATCTGAGCTGAAGAGGGTCCGATATGAGAGAGGCTCATACCGTGTGCGCTGTGCGGTCCATCTGTGTCCACTAAGCGTTGTGGCTGTGAAGGTGATGAGGGTCGACATGGAGGAGAGGCAGGAATGTATGTACACTCCTCATCCCTAGGACGTGGTAGGCGTGGTATTGGCACAGAGTGGGCTAATCGTGGGATATTTCAATTTAAGATAACTGTCATCTTGTTCAGTGTTGCACGGAAACACGGCCACCAATGTGTCAAAATGGAACTATCTCTCCAAAAGCACAGCCTACCGCCACACTTAGTCGAAGTTCGCAGCCACGCCTACCACATCTCAGGGATTCCGAGGGTCTAAGAGAGGAGAAGCGGGACCGAAAATGTGCAGAGGGGGGCCGGGTTTTTTTCTTTCCCCCCCACCCAGGGCGTCCTTTTTGCCCTGCGATGTGCGACTGCAATAGTATAACTCACCATTCACAAACCTCTTAAATTTATATAGAGAAGACTCCATCCAGGTCATGCCATTCAGAGCTAGATGCCACTTGAACTTCGTACTATTTTAAGAGCCCTCGCCTACGGACCCTTTCATACAGTAGAAGGAATTTTGGGCACTATTATTGCTGCGCGATTGATGAGTGGTTAGCATCGACAACAATTCTGCATCAGAAATTCTCGCGTTATGCATTTCCCATGGCCCGCCAAATTGTTGACAGTGTTGCCTAGAAAAACAGAAGCTTATATACTGTAAGGGAAACACCTGAATTTTTACTTTACAGTTTTCTTAACTTGAATGATTGATCTAGAGTTAAGCAGCCAAATTTTGCGGAGAGAAAACGAACGCGTCACAGTTTAGTTCTCAATGAACGCTAGCAGTTGTGTGAGTACGAGTGCCCCTCACAACCAGGTAAGTGGTTTAGAGTAATAATAAAAACGAACGTGAACACATTGGATAACAGATTTATAAAACCCTTCTGCTGCTGAAACGCTCAGGTTTCCACAGTAGCTCTCGAAATCTCTGGCAAAGTGAATAACAGCCTGTTCAGAAGGCACTTCGCGTTCGATTGTTCGTTAGGCGGGTAACAAGCCACATGCTCTCTTAACAGCAAGCTTATCCTTGAGAAGCACTGAGAATGAGAGCACTATTCACTACATTCACTACCCGTCGGTCAGCGCAAACTGTGTTTTCCAGTGTTCCTGATTCCTGTTGCCCCAGTGTTTTAAGGTTCCAAAACAAACTAAAGTACACTCTGAACGCACAAATATCACTATTTCAGGCTCTCATGGAAGACTCGCCTGTGAATATCGAGCAGAACCTCATCAAACAGGTACCATTTAAGCTGCACCGCTCGTAAGAAATTTTGGATTTTTTTTGATCTCGCCTTGAAGCAGGAGGGAAAAAAGGCGAAGAAGCGCTGCGAAGAATAAAAATATAGTCCTTCGATCGGCTTTTATTTGTTGAGCGATTAAAAATGCTCACGAGTTGACTAGCGAACAGTAATTTCTGCCGGCCGCTCAGAAAATGCGTGCTTGATACAGTTCATATCCGCGATCCTGCGGGGCGGTACTAGAGGCAAGGAATAAGCCCGTTCGCTGAGTTCCACCACTGGTGGTTTTCAGCCTGAATCAGTCTTTATTGGTAGGAAAAGCAACCGTGACAGGGCTTATTCCTGCCCCCTGAAACTGGTAGAAGAATCTTTGAGTACTGAGGTTTTTCAACAAACGCTAACCAAACAACGTCTCTTCCAGATCCTCATGGAGTGTTGGCGTGCGAATATCGAGCGAATCCCGTTTCAGGTATGATTTCTCGCTATGAATGTTTTTCCCAAAGTATTTTTATTGGATTTCAGGCAATGGAGCGATGACTCGTGAATATCGAGGAAATCCTCCCTCAGGTCAGTCCTGAGCTTCGACAGTTAATCATAAGCAGCCTTGGTCACAAACTGTCTTGATTGTGGGTGCTGGTCAAGAGACACGTTGCGACAGCTGTTTCTGCGCTTACCTAAGTCGTGGAATGCTTTTTTGTGTTCAACTAGTTCTCAGAAAACTATGTGCCACCGCCCCCAATTTAAGAAATCCCATATTCGCGGCACCAAGTAACGAGGGCGCTGGGCGGTCTCTAGGTTAAAGGTGCGCCACCCGTAGAAGTTTGCCGCGCCCCACGAATGTCGTCTTCACATCTAATATAGGTTTCTTAACGACCTCATGCTCGCACCTCATTCCGTAAGTACCTTTCCGAAGAAAAGCAGTCAAATGCGGTCCACTTCACAGGAATAGAATGCATTTTGGAGCTGCTTCAATAGTCGGTACTTGCAAAGGTGCACATGCATTGGTGCAATGGTTTGCCAAATGGCGGTAATCGCAAATCTGCAGGAGAAATTTACAGAATTATTAGGTTGTCCGGAAAGTTCTCAGCGTTTTGTGCACCTATTTTTTGTACATTCACTGCTGATTAAAAACTCATTCTGCCTTGCTTCTCAGTAGCACATCCTGTAGAGAATTTCTTGCGCTATCTGATGGTATAATTGCCGTTTCACCATTGCTTGATAAACCCCCTTTTTTCAAGATTTTTTTCAAGCATGTGAAAAGAGCACTTCGGACGATTTTTTCTTCGACTATAAATTGGGGCAATCCGCAATCGAAACAGCTCAACAAATTAACCAGGTGTGGGGGCCCAATAGTGCTAGAGAAAGCACTGTGCGGCAATGGCTCAACAAATTTCGTTCTGGAGATTTCAGCCTTGAAGATGAACCTCATAGCGGTCGACCTAAAGCAATATCTGACGAGGATTTTAGGGGGATTTTGGAGGCTGACCCATCCCAAACAGTTCGAGAGATAGCGACGAACCACCGAGGTAATTTTCAAAGCCGAACCCTCACGAAAAAGATTCTGGTCACGGCTTGGTGGTCATCGGCTGGTGTGATCCACTATAACTTTTTATCACCAGGCCAAACCATCACAGCAGAACCCTACTGTGAAGAAATCGACGAATTGTACCGAAAATTTTGTCAGATGCAGCCAACACTTATCAAAAGAAAGGGTCCGATTCCTTTGCATGACAACGCCCGCCCACACGTTTCACAAATCACTATCCATAAATTGAACGAATTGGGGGTTGAAGTTCTACCTCAACCGCCATATTCTTCAGACCTTTCGCCAACCGACTATCACCTTTTCTAACATTTTCAGAACTCCCTTGCTGGAAAATACTTCATCAATCAGGACCAGGCAAAAAAGCCTTAGTGGATTTCGTGAATTTTCGACCACCCAGTTTTTTACTTTGATGGGATTTCTCGACTGCTTTATATCCGATGAGTGTTAAAAAAGTTACGTCGTTCAAAGTGAAACACCCAAAACGCTGAGAACTTTCCGGACAACCTAATACTTCAAATCATGAGATTCGTTACTATGTTTATTTACTCCACATTTTTTTCGGATTATGAGCGGCCTTTGGTGGTGGAATTTGCGGATAAATGACCACAAATAAGAAAAAGGGCCTTTTCGACTTGCTGGCATGAAACTAGCAGGTCCGGAAACCTCGTCGACAAGACAGCTTGTTTAGCTTCCCTTTCTCCTTTACTGCGCATTCACTGAGCACCTGTAATTTCGTTTTTAAATCCCATCACCAACAATTTTGCCTTTAGCGAGAATAAACTTCCTACTGGGTTGGTGTGACAGTCAATCAGCCTATGCTTTATCGCATTTGATCCGCTGACTAATTGATAATTGTTGGTTCAGATGGAAGATATCGAGTGGATGATGTCCCGATGCCTGCTCAAGGGGCACCGAAAATCACAACATATTTGCCGGAAACCACTAAAAAAAGAAGTAAGTCGTACATCCTGTTTCCAACGATGACACTCTTGTCAGCTTTTCGGAAGGTTTCAGATATGCAGGGGCGGTTCCATCCACCTCATTTCTATATGAAGTCTGAGAAAAAGACAGATGTGGCAACCTGATAGTAAAAGAATCCTTTCCACTACTCAACCCCTACAACCTAATTCTTAGAGGAAGTGCTGATACTTTATCCCTACGAGTTATCCGAATTCTTCATCATGCACATTAAATCCGTTGCTACCACCGAAACTCAGAGAAAATGTCATCATCGTGACTAGAACCCTTGATCGTGAGATTGCATAACTGGGGAATTTGGTGCAAAAAAATTCCTGGTGACACCCGAACGCAGTCTTCGTGCTAAGGTTGCCAGAAGGTTCTGCACATAGGTTTATAGTTTGCGGGGCAAACGTTCTTTGCCTGCAGAAAAATGGTGCAGAAAAGTTGCGTTCGGTTCGCGATGCGAAATAACCCTTGGGATGCGTTCACTCTTTGCGGCTCAGGAGAATCGGTGGTTCAGGAAAAAAGCGTTTTGGACGTCACTCGGTACCTACATACGCTAACCTTTGTTGAAAAGAAAGGTCCGCTGGTAACGCTGACCTCAGAACGCCGATTCGCTCGAAACGTCAGATCATCAGATCAGACGATACGATACAGCAATTAGAGACTGATAAGGTGCAATGAGGGAGGGGGCTAAAGATCTCACTCGATTGCTTGAATTCGTGCTCCAGCTTCGAATACGATCAATCGCCCTGAGAACTGTCTTTTGTGGTGGGCATGACGCGTTCTCGAAAATCGGAAAGAGTCGGAAATGCTGCGCGGACGATCTAGAAAACCGGCGATAATAAAGTCGGCAGATTCCACATGGTCGCGCCTCGGTGTCCCTTCCTCCCAACCAAGGCCTAGGTCAGAGGCCAAAAAATTGCAAATTGATTTTTGATGAGAGAATCGATTTTTCAGCAGATCTTTCAATAAACTGTTCGATTACCGGGAAGCAAGTCTACATTTTTAGTTCCACTCGGTGTGATCCTTGCGGTTGCAATCGGAGTGCCGGTAGTGCTCGTCTTATGTCTGTTCGGTGCTGTCTGGCTACAGGAGTTGGGGATTTTGTAAACTGCCATTCAAATTTGTAAAAAAAACTTTTCAAACGTAATCTTTTACTGACTCTTTTTGTTTTTCCATAAAGAAATATGTCCTGTAAAGCTATCACTTGTCCATTAGACGATCTCTTTAGTTGACTTCCTAGAGTGTTTGTAACCAGTATGGCACTACTTATTTTTGCTTACCCGATTCAACGTTGTCATGCCTTGCAATTCCCATTTGGCTCGGTTATCTATGGTATTTGTTTGTTCTTACATACTTTGAGATTATTCTTGAGTCGTAGGTTTCTTTACTGTCGTGCTTCTGCTTGACCTCAATACAACGAGCTCCTCTGCCAGTGTCTTGCTTAACCCCATGTAGCCGGTTCTGACTTTACTATTTTTTAGCTGCAATTGTAATTTTATACAGTACAATAAAGTGATTTCAGTCATGCCTAGATCTTGGTTATCTGATACTCGTAGTCCATTATCGTAGTCCATTTATCCTGTTAGGCTCTTAAGCCTCCAAATCTGAACCTAAATCTATCATGTATTCGATTCCTAGTCTGACATAACTCATAGAAACTGCAGCACACCGATAAGAAAGTGAGGCTGCGTTCATACTTTGCAGCAGCGTCCACCAGCGTCTACCAGCGCCCACCAGCGACCACTAGCGTTCCGAGCGTCCGGCAGCGTTAGCGACAAGGAAAGTATAGATATCGACGTATCTGCCAGCGTCTGCCTGCGTCCACCAGGGTCTGCCAGTGTCTCGAGAGCTGGGAAAGTATACAGGGGAGCCAAAAAAAGTCACTTCGACCGAGTCACATATCAGCAAAGTTTTCGCAGCCCAGACAGAGGACGTGGATACGAGTACCAGGGCGGAAGATACCCAAGATGTTCCTCGATAAGCAGGAGCTGGCCCTCGCCCATCACCTTCATGTACACCAAAATATGAGGTCATCTCCAGTCGCAGCCTGACTGGAGAAGACCTTTGGAATTCATGTCACCTCCAAACAGCTGCGAAACTTCTAGTGTGGAGTCACCCATGGGTAGCTACCTGGAGACCAGTACTCTCAATCTGGAAGACCTCCAACATCGAGCAGCTCCGACAACGTCGCTACGGTCTAGGACATCATCTTCACGGCAGTCGCCAAGGCGCGGGTTGATGGTATGGACCGGACGCACCTGGAATGGAAAGACCAATATTTTCTTCGTGGACCCCGGGCTGAAGCTGAGCGCTGGCGGTTACATCGACAACTCAAGAAGAATATCTTCCCCACATGTCGTCGCCCGTACCTTCTTGGAAACTTTGTACTGCTACAGCATTGGGTGCCACCACGTGGAATCGAAGGCGTTGGAGAAACTCTCGCCTACTTGGAATGGAAGGGGGCTGAGTACCTAAAGAAGATGGAATATCCAAGTAGGTCACCTGACCTGAATCCCCTCAATTACCCGGTTCGGGCGGAGTTCAATAGGGTGGTCTACGGTGGCGGAGAAATCTCGCTGATCTCAGGCACCACATCGCGGTCGCGTGCCAGAATCTCTCGATGGCGCTCCTCCAGAAGGCTGTGGCGGAGTGTCATAATAGTATTTAATATGCTCTTTAATATGGTGGTAGAAATGTCCGATCAGAATTTATAAAGTGTAACTTATAGCGCCTCGAAAGTCAATGAAGCAAAGTGACTTTTTTTTGGCCCCCCTGTAGGTATCGATCTAGCTTCTGCCAGCATTATTAGCGCTCACCAGCGACGGGGGGGGGGAGGGGTAGAGGCTATGGCGAAGTAGGAGGTTAGGCAAACAGCTGGATTAAGCGTCATGAAATTGCGGCGTGTGCAAGCGTACCGTTCAACGACATTACACCGTACACTAAATTGCATAATTCTGTGCTTCACCAGCAGAATGCTCCCACCTAGCCGAACTCTGCCTCTTATAGTATGCGCAGGAAAGGTGATTTTGTCGAAACAACCAGTTCTTTGTGCGGCTGCTGCGCATTTCGAGCCACATTCAGGTTTTGGTTCTCTTGGATTTGTTAAATTACTAGGGCGTTGAGGTAAATGTTGAGTTGAGTGTTTTTTCTCCTGTGAAGAGACGGGAGTTACCAGATGGAGGAGAAAGAGTTGCGAGTGACTCCAGAACCTGACTGATTTAACGGGTAAGGCTGCGTTTATACATAATCAGCATCTTCTAGCTTCGAGCGTCCACTAGCGTTCCGAGCGCCCGGAAGCGTCAAAGATTGTTAAAGCAGAGATATCAATCTAACGTCTGCCAGCGTCTTAGAGCGTCTCCCAGTGATCGCCAGCGTCCACCCGCGTCTCCCAACGTCTGGGCTTGGCGCGATAGGAGCTTAGCAGACAGCTGGTAAACTCCTGTCGCGCCATACTCTCTAACAACTTCTGCTATCCTCCTATCGCGCCATACTCTGCTCTCCCGGACGTTGGTGGACGACGATGCTCGCTAGCACACGCTGGTAGACGCTAGATCGACACCTATACTTCCCAGGATCTGGTGGATGCTCGCAGACGCCCGCGGAGGCTAGACTGATATCTACCCTTTTCCAATTGCTGACGCTGCTGGACGCTCGAAACTGGGAAGTGGACGCTGCCGCAAACTATGAACGCAGCCCAAAAGGCTATACTATATCGAGTGAACTAGCGAGGAAATGCATCGCAGCTCACGCGCGCAGCCGAATAGGATTTCCTGAGCACCGCTGCAACACTGCCCTCATGACTTTTCAATTCGAACTGTTTGATGAGGGGGGGTCCCTATAAGTGGCGCGGATCTGGTTTCATCCATTCATGATAGGCCGGATTTGATGACTTTCGGTCTAATTACTGAACGTTACACTGTTCCCAGATGAGATACGATGCTAGCAACCACTTGGCGGAAGACGATTGCTTAACACATTGGCGACAAGGCGCCTTTTCGCGTGTCTGCCGCGTGGGACGAAGCAATTTTTCCCTATTTTTGAGGAATGCGCATGAATGCTAGGGCGTCTACACACCAAAACACTTGAAGAAGGACTAGTATTCAATGCAGAAGCTAGTAAAACTTTGCTGTTTTTTTTTACTTTCAAGATAAACCCTTAATTTTCGTGGAATACTCCCGCCCCATACACGCGGAGCGTGGGAAAGAGGTCGCAAAAAAGGAATTTTTTGGCGCCAGAGGCGGTAAATTGGATTCGATTCAGATCTGCTATTGCTGAAAGTTACCTTATCACGTTAGCTATCTACATGTGGAGCTTCAGTTCTATTTATCCAAAAATTACCTTTTTTCCCAAGGAAATCACTTTCCTTTGTATCCTCCGTAAAATACTCCCAATGACACAACTGCTTGTTTTGCACCTACTGTATATTCTACAATGCCTCCTGTACAATATGTAGCTGTTGAAAATTTGAAACGTTTTTAAATTGGTTTTTTACCCATGCCGCATCCCAGCAGTGGGACGCAATGTCCCACGCGGCAAAAAAGGTGCGTCCCAGCAGTGGGACGCAATGTCGCCAACGTGTTAAGCCATTGACGAGCAAAGCCTTAAACTTCCCATGGAACATTAAACAGAGACGGTAAATCGAAAAGTCCCCAAACAGTGTAAGTGCCATTCTATGTCAGGTCAACTAGCAAACAAATACCGCGGTATTAGCTGAATCGTGGTTTCCTGACCGGGCAACAAAGTCTTCGCCGCTGAGGTTTTTTAAGGGAGGTGGGCCATTATAAGCAGTGCGGCTGTCGCACATATGGTTCAAGATCGGTTTCGGATCAAGTATCATCTATGCCAACCTGAAACTAGTGCCCTCGACAGACCAAAATAAGATCCCTTGGTGAATCTCAAGGCCTTCCTTTCCCCAGCAGTAGATCATTCGGTTCCAATCTGATCTGAGTGGATGAAACGCTGGCTGTAAAGATTTAGAGCTTTTCTACAGAATACAGATAAAATGCGTATTGTGAGCCACCCGAATGTTGAATCGCCTCAGAAAATGGTCAGGTCCATCTCTCACGTCTCAGGGCGAGAGACCGAGATGAGATGTAGCGACACTATACTGACCAGGGAAGGTCAACAGGGCAGTATGGCCATTTGCAGGGAAGCGCATCGTTATACGCGCCTCGAAACGATGAGCTCATATCCACCTGCAGAATTTATGAAACGATTCTCTGAATGGAGTTGTGGAGGTTTTTTTCATAGTTTTCCATGGAGGCGCGCTGGTGCCCAAGGACCGGCACACACTAGCGATAGGGCCGGCACGTGTAGCGCGCGAAACAGTCAACTTCGAGCGAAACGGAGGCAAAATTCTTGTCCAGGGGGTCAAATAATCCCCAGGACTGGCAATCTTGCAAAATCTGAGATTTTGTCTCAACTTCGAAAAAGTTGGATTAGGTTAGTTACTCCAGAGAACCGTTTCACGATTTTAGAAGGGAGATTAGAGTTCATCGTCTCAAGACGCGCACAACGGTGTACTCCTCATTGCAAATGTTCGGACTGAGCTGTTGACTTTCCCTGGTGAGTTACAAGCGCGCAGCAGCCGTATTGCCAACACCGCTCATACTTGCCACTCTGCTTTTGCCACGTCGCCTTCGGCGCGGATCACCTGACTGATGGCTCGTCTTTGTGCCATCACTAGGACAACCTTGTGCGAAACATTGTTGACTCCACAAAGTTTACCCCATTATAAACATAATGTGAAGTACATCTTCTTCCTCTTGATGAGGTGCGTTGCTATCCTCAGGTGCATCGGGAGCACACGCATGTCTTTCGACCGCCACGATAATGACAGAAGCCAGTTCCGCATCTCTGGAAGTAGTATCTCATGATGATGTGCTGTCCTCGTCTTACAAAGTTATACAAAGAAGGAACAAAAGTAACTTACTTGTAGTCTGCAGGATGCAATACATGCGGCTCTTGCAACTTTTTGCAAAGCAGGCCCACCGTCCATTCTTGCACAAGAAGTATAATAGCCGCTGCTGGTGACTACGTTAAAGAAGGCGGCTAGGATGAGGCACAGCATAAAGCGGTTCATTCTTGAATTTTCTAAAGTAGATCTT